CAATTGCATATTACCAGTCGAGTAAATGGAAGCAATAGTTTAAAAGTCTGACAAAAGAACCAACAAGCCTGGATAGTTTCATTAGTTAATTTATTTATCCTGCACTGACACTGTATTAGTTTGTTTATTAAGGCTTTATAACACAGGACATTTCTACTCATCTTATTCTTCTCCAGCAATATCTTGGCTGCTCATGGCCTATGCTCTTCCATATAAATTATGGAACTAATACATCAAGTTCCATGAAAAATATTTTGGTATTTGAATTGAAACATCCTTTCATGTATAGCTAAGTTAGCATTTTTACTATATTGAATTTTTCTATCCACGAATAAGAAATATAATCTATTTACTTAGGTCTCATCAAATATTTTATTTTATTTTAAATTTTTACAAGTTTTTATTAAAATATGGCTAACATACAATACTATATTAGTTTCAGGTGTATACCATACTTATTCAACATTTATATACCTAATAAAGTGATCACCATGATAATACAGCGACTATCTGATATTATACCACATTATTACAATATTATTTACTATATTCCCTATGCTGTACATTACATCCCCATGACTTATTTGTTTTATACCTGGAAATTTGAACCTCTTATTCCCCTTCACCTTTTTCTCCCTCCTTTTAAAATTTTTCAATTACAGTTGACATTCAATATTATTTTATATTAATTTCAGGTGTATAGCATAGTGGTTAAACATTTATATAATTTAAGAAGTGGTCCCCCTGACTAGTCTAGTATCCACCTGGCACTATACATAGTTATTACCTTATTATTGACTATATTCCCTATGCTTTACTTTACATCCCCGCGACTATTTTGTAACTACCAATTGTACTTCTAAATCCTTTAACCTTTTTCACCATGGCCTCCAAACACCTCTATCACTCTGATAAATCTAGTAGCCATCTGACACCATACATACAGTTATTACAATATTATCGACTATATTCCTTATGCTATACCCTACATCCCCATGNATCTCTGTCAAGTCTGGGGAATATAATCAATAATGTTGTAAATATTTTTTAGGGGGCCAGATGGACTCATGTCTTGTTAGGGAGACCACTTCATAGTCAGTGCAGAGGCCTGACCACTGCACTGTATTTCTGAAGCTGATGTTGAATAATAATGTATGTCAACTATAGTTATATATACATATAGTCATGGGACGTGGAGTAGAGTGTGGGAATGGAGTCAATAGAATTGTAATAGATAAGCATGATATCAGGCGTGGGAGGGCAGTAGATGAGGGGAGGGGGGTTGTTTCTGTGTGAAGGGTGAAAAGGATAACTATTGCATTGTTCTGTACACCTGAAACTAACAATAAAAAAAATAAAATAAAATAAAATAAAAATCTCTGTCAAGTTTTCCTTTCTAAACATCATGTATCAAAAAACATGGATAGGAAAATATAATTTTCTGGTCTGACCTGTCTTTAAAGAACAGGATTTCTCCCCTCAGCGTGCTGAGTGCATCAAAGGACAAAGTAGGATCACAGGTGGCTGGTGTCTCAGTAGGTACAGATTCTGTGGGCACCACAGGGTCAGCAGGGGAAGCAGCGGGAGGACCTAAAGAGAACAGGTGCGAGGATGCAAACATTAGGAGAAATGTGATGCTCCTATCAATTTATATGCTTTCCAAGCATTCTCAAAACGCTTTGAGTTGACTTGGAAATGTTTTCTGCAGCATTTGAAAGTTGTCCTGAAGACCATTACTGCAAAGCTACAATGCCTAATTTTTCCAGCATCACTCACCATACAGGGACTGAATGCCATTTACATCATCTTGAGAAAGGCGGAACTGGGCCAGGTCTGTTAATGGGTTGTAGACTGAGTACATCAAAGCTTCAGGGTTGGCCGAGTGCTGGAGACCCAGGGAATGGCCAAGTTCATGAGCAGCAAC